ATCATACCGATACCGATTAAAATATGAAGTACTTTAATTTACAATTTCGAAGCTATGTACGTCATTTTTTAAATGACAGAAATTTGAAAGTGACGTCTAACATATATACGTAGTATATAATGGTATATATGAGTTATAATATGTGTTGTTGCATATATAATATACGTATTAAAAAATTAATAAACGTACACTAGAATATACTAACTTGTATATTTGTTCGAAGCTATCATATAATTATTGCATCACGTACGTGTGCAGATATTTATAAAAAAAAATTACACATTTAACACGTATGATAGATTGTTTTTGCATACAATATGCAAATATATTTTTATTATTTTATAGACTACTAAAATTTTATTATTCTTGTTCAAATTTATGTTTACACTCTTTGATTTGTATTTGCAATTCGTAATTCTTTTTCTTATTTCAATTAAAAGCATATTCCAATCTTTCCATTGGTGTTATTAATGATGTTTATGAATTATTAAAGACATGAGACGTTAATTCTTTTGTAAAATAGGCCATTCCATTGTATATGAAATTACTAAATAATATTAATATCATTAAAATCTTCATTCGAAGTCAAGCTCTATTAATTAATTTAATTAGAAATTTAATTATAATATTTATTTTTTAAATTATTATAAGCCATTATTTACATCAACTAAAGGTGTAGACATTTAGAATTTTGGATATAGCTACCCTAGCAAAAATAATGCCGTATAAGTGTTATATACCATTATTCACCTTAAACCCTTATCATGTCAATTTTTAACGTTATATGCTCCAATAACATTCCCCATCCCTGTATATTTTTGATAATAATTAAAAGTCTTATTCAATTTCAGTTTGACAAGGCGATTATAAAGATGATCTAAACTTGATTGGTTGTATGTATGCCGTAAAATTCATTGAGACGATTCTACTGCATTATTAGTCCATTGCAAAATCAGATCTTGATTTCTTCTAACTTGAAAATATAGATCTATGCCAATTAGGACCTGGTTGAACAGGCGAAGGAATAAAGATAAGTAAAATAGAAGACATCATTGCATTAATTATATTACACATGGCAGAGTCAGACATTTGTATAGTCATGTCTGAATTGGTTGACACGTCTACCATGGACAAATAAAGATAAGTACAGAGGTCAAGGCAGATAAGGTTGCCGGTATATCGATTGAGAGGTAATCAGGCTCTGATAAAGTTGTGATTGAGAGATAATCAGGCTCTGATAAGGTTGAGATTGAGAGGTAATAGGCTCTATGTCTAACCAATGCTTTATTCTAACTATGAAGCCAGGTTGAACCTTTCTTATGGTACTATGAAAATACAAAATGTTATGAATACTAATAGTAGGGTTAGGGTTGAAAGATAGGTCGGCGATAGGTATCACTAGTTTAATTTTTTGTAATAAACCTAAACACCAAATGCCCTTATACAATCGAAACTGTCTGGTATAGGAATTCTATATAAAAGTATAGAAGAATATTCCAATTGGATTAACGCGGATATTATTGAAGGAGAAGATTTTTAATATTACAAGTGAAGTAACGAAATATCTTCTAAAAACGTAAAAGAAAGACTTTCAATATTAACTTACGTATTATCTTTGAATTTTCTAAATGAAAAGATAAATTACGGCAAAGCCACCCTTCAAGCTTTTCATCTTCCATATTTAAGGAAATAAGTTAGGTGCTTAAAAGTTTTCCTAATCATGTCACATAACCAGTAATACATTTGGAACTATGACACCTCATAGAAGTTATAAAATTGGGGTGGTATTGGAAGCAGAAAATGAGGTGGCTCAATTTATGTTAATAAAGAAATAAATAAATAGAAAGGTGAGATCGTGGTAGCGTGTACATTAGCTGAGAGAATGTGAAGAGGGAGTGAATAACAAAGATCCACTTTAATAAAGGATCTAAGTCAAGGTTCTTTAATCAAGGTATGAGTTAAAGGATACTTATATTGAACGATTATTTTCAGCAGGATGCCCTTTATTTATAAAAAAATAAACTTTACAAAGCTAATTAGATCAACAGAGAACTGCGGCCCATTCACGTGACTTTTCAGAGGTCAGATTTTTTTTTAACAGTTTCAATGAAAGCATAACGATTTTAAATTGTAAATTATACATAAATTATACGTAATATATATAAAATAAATAATTTGTTTAAAGTTCTTTTTTTTAGTGAAATATTTTATTAATACAATCAAAAAAGTGGTCATTTGGAGATCAAGGAACAAGACCTGGCATATTTCGAATTGAAGTAATCAGCTAAGTAGAATTTTCTGTTATACAAATAATATTTTATGAAAAAGAATGTAACTTAAGAAACAGCGCGAACGAATCGATAGTTAATATTAGGCAGTTAGAATTTACTAAACAAAAATTCAACGAAATTTTTGATTCAAGTAATCCTATTTCCGAACATTGTAATATGTGACAATAATTTATCGATTGAAAAAAGTGTGATCTTGCTTCGATTAGTAATAATAATTCGTTTATTGAAAGAGAGCAAAACATTAAACATGACAATTTATAAAACATATGATGTAAAAATTATTATACATATAAAGTTAGATTGTACAGTATAGTTACAACATATAAAAGTTGAGTTACGACACATAATTTTAAATACGCATGTTACGACACCCCGTAATTTAAATGTTAAAACGAAAAGTTATGGTTAGTTATACCTATTATGCTTTAATTCTCTACTGCATCACTAATCTTTTTCTGGAATTGAGAAAGGTTTGATTTATATCAATTGAGAAAGGTTTGATTTATATCAATTAAGGGAAGGGTTAATTTTGTTTCCAAATCAATATCTGATATGTGTTGTAATGGAATTCTGATTCGGTTGGATATAGAATTCGAATTCCACTTTAATAAGTGGATTTAAGTCATTATTCAACAAAAAAAAATTTTTTTTGATTACTCATGTGTATTACAATACTCCCAGGTTAGGATGAACTATTATATCATATAAATTTCTCTGGCTATGAGGCGAGTTAGACGCTTTATCGATATAGATCAGAGATTCAAAAATTTTATTTGGTATAGACTAATACAGTTTATAATTTAAATTTTGGGGATTTAGGGGACAAATTTTAGCCAGATCGCTCTATCGCTATAATGTAAATTTTTAATTAAAAAAAAAACGACCGAGTTGCATTTTGAAAATTTACTTACCAAATTTGCTAATCGACGTAGTAAGACTTTTATTACACTGCAAGATACAACTTTTGAAACTTCAAAATACCATTATTGGAAAAGAGAAACATTCGGTTTACGAAATTTTGGAACAATATGAACTCCGTATTGCAACTTATTAAACTATGTAAAATTTTAGCAGTATGTCCCGTTAAGAATATACGACTAGAATAATATGTAGCCAGTTTTGTTTAAAGAATTGAATGTGCTAAATAGATTCAGGATTAACTTTTAGTTCAAAATTTTTTAACGATTGAATGAATTTGAAATTTCATTCTTAAATGTATTTAGAATCAACATAAAATGTATTTTGAATTTGCAATTAAATAAAAAAATAAAAAAAAGATTAAATATTTTTTCTTTGAAAATTTTTAAATCAACTGGCTTAAATAATTTATAGTTATTGTATTTAAGTAACTTGGTGTAAATTTCTTCGGATATCGATATCTGTTCGATTTTATTTTTAAATAGGGTAACACTGTTAAAATCTATTCTCTATTACATCCAAAAATTGTAATATAACTTACATTTTGTGAATTACTGTATATCTAAAACATTGACCAAATACATTCGTGAAGCCTTTTTTCAACCTACTCAATACATCATCAGGCAAGAAAAAAAAAATTTTTTTAATACAATTGTTATGTACTATATATGTTCGTATTGAGTACATTTTTTAAGTTAGTGAATACGATTACTATACAAATACATTTTATTCATGAAAGAAAAATAATGTTTACGATTTAAAAGAAACGGGAATTCGTTCATTAAATTATAAATAAATATCAATTATTAATTATGTATACAAAGTCATACTTCTCTGTAAGAACGCTTATAAAACCAATGCTCTTATAAAGAATGACCATATAGATTTATTATTAGTTTTTTTTTTTTGATTTGTTTTAAGCAGCGTAATTTCATCAAATAATTAATATCCCACCAAATATTTTTTTTATGAAATTATTTATTATTTTCTATATAAATACAGAATATATCATGTATGTCTCAAAGATTATTTTCATTCAGATAAAATACGTTCCAAATCGGTAAACAAACTGTTCAAATTATTTTCTTTATCTACTAAAGAAATAGGTTGATCTGTTTCACTTTGAACATTTGAAGCTTCATCATTCCATGGAGCTTTTGCCCAACTTTGTGGTACTAAATATCCTGATGATTTTTTAGTAACTACTGATAAAACTGATGGATGTTGTGGTAAAGTTGGTGAATCAACAATATCAACCCATTTTGATGTTATAGTATTATTATCTGAATCACTCATTCTATCTATGTTATCTTCCCAACCAAATAATGATATTGATGTTTCAGTACTTGAACTAAGTGTATTAGAAGTTGATGTCGAATTAGATGACGATATTTGTACATTTGAAGTAAATATTGATCTTCTCAGTAATTTTGATTGCGTCAATTCTGAGTAATATACAGGTGTAGGTTGTATTATCGTCGTTATTAGATGATCTTGTGTGGAATTCGTAATGTTGGAATTCTGAAGATCTTGGGAAATAGTCCTATTATTTCTGACATGTGCTGTTTTTAGTCCAGTGAGTACAGGTGGTGGTGTAGGACGTTTATCACCAAATGTTCTTCTGCGATTGGTGGGTGATTGAGAGTTCGTTGGAATTGGTAGTAAAGCAGCGGGTGATTGAGCGTTCGTTGGAATTGGTAGTAAAGTAGTGGGTGATTGAGCGTTCGTTGGAATTGGTGGTAAAGCAGCGGTTGGTGGAGGTTTCATTCCGCCGGCCAGTGATGAAAATTCCAATAAAATGCTATCTAACCCTTCCCGATTTGGTGGAAATTGTGGATCAATATAATGTTCTAAAACGTCATGTTTCGTAACGTATTCAGAGTTATGAAGTTTCTGCAATATTTCAGCCCTTTTATTCATTTTATCATCCTCTTCAGTCATAGAGCTTGATTTTTCAAATTTTCTCATCTTTCTTAATCGGCGATAGTAAACATAAAATCCGATTGCAAGAATTACTACAAGAATAATCGTTACAGTGGCCGCGATTAAAATTACTGGTGTATTATTAGAATCTGTCGATGTTGCTGTAGCAGAGGGCTGAGCAGAGGGTGTAATGACAGGTAATCCTGTCGTTGACACCGCTATATCGTCTAAGAGCCAACCCTTTTTAATTTTACTACGTTTATGGTACATTATAATTATTGCTGTATATTTGAAAGGAGCTATTGTACTTTTGATCGGTTTGGCTGTATTTAATAAGATTAATTATTAGTAACTTTGTTGATCATTATTTTGTAATTCATTGAATTTTAAGAAATGAAAATTACGTGAATTAATAATGAAGAATGTGATTAATGACAAAGATGCCCAATCTTTTTTTTAAAAAAAAATGGAGACTTAGATATCGTTAAAATTTCAGCTGAAGGCATTTATCCGAAAGTCAGCTGTGGATGCTTGCGACAGAAAGAGAATGATACAAGAAATTTTTCTTTTTTTTTTTGAACCTGCAAAAAAAAAAAAAGAAAAAAAAACAAATATCATGCCATTTAGGAAGACTAAAAGAATCTTGAAATATACTAAATTTTTCAATTTATTGTTTTGATTCTGAGTACCGATGCAGAGAAAATCTGCTTCGGATTAATTAGCTTTTTTAGCATGGCTTAGATGATCAAATAGTTCTCTATGGTTAAGCGCTCTTTTACGGCTAAATAGGAAAGTTACAGATATTAAATTTTACATAAATATCAATATAAATAATACATTATACTGAAACAATAAAAGCAAAAAAATTTTACTACTATTTTTTCAATTTCGAGACAAGCTGTTAGATCTAAAAAGTATTGTAATTAATAATCCACTTGATATTTTTCGCCCTGTAAAGCTTAGGACAGTATTTTTAAAATCTTTGTTAATTTACAAACTTTGAGATAATCACAATAATCTTATAGTTCATAATATTTATCTCATTAATGATTTCTAAAATGTATTTAGTTTTTCAATTGCAGTAAGATTCAAAAATAACAGTTTTACAATTTCGGTTATTTAGCATAATATGTAACAAGGAGTATGTACGTTATTCGTACAGATAAATTTTAAGTTTCCGAATATAAACTAATCCGATAGTTAAAAAAATTTATTGGTTGTTTTTAATTAACTGCTTATAGTAAACTAATAACTAAATGATTTTGGATAAAAAAAAAAATTAATTATAGAGAAAATGGCGTCGGAAAAATCGGTATCATGAAAAGAATTTTCGGGATAACTATCAAAATATATTTTATTAAAAAATGATCTAGTTGCTGACCAACTAGAAATTAAAGCAAATACTAGGGTTTATTAGTGTTCAAGTTAGGATTAGAATTGAGTTAGTATTAGCGTTAGGTAAAACATAATACACTATATATTGCAAAATTTTATAAAAAATTCTTATTGAAAGAAATTATATATGAATTTTTAAAAAAGGCAATTTCTATTTATATCAAAATTTTGCTTATGAAACCACTCTTCGAGTTCTAACAAAAAAAAAAATCTATGTAAAAATTTTAGTATAGACTACCTCTAATCTTAACCTATCTTAACTTTGATTAATAAATTTTTTTTTATAAGTGTTTCATACACTAGTGGAAATTAATAAATTTTCTTTAGTATTATTATTTTATTTGTGATATATATAGTATTTAATTCAAATTTTAACCTAAATTACAATTAGCAATTATATTATAAAATTATATATATACCATAAAATATTAAAGTTTTTATAAGAAAAGTTATTAATTTACACAAGTGTATGAAACACGGGTATAATTTATAAATAAATTTAATACAAATTTAAAGGAAATGGGTAAATAAAAGTTAAGATAGGTTAGGGATATAGGTAGTTTATACTGTACTAAAGCTTTTACGTAGATTATTTTTTTTTTGTTAGAATTCTTCATGAGCAAAATTTTGAATTACTAATGTACTCGTGTTTCATACACTAGTGTATAAATAGAAATTGCTAAAGAAAAAAATGCATTAAATTTTTTTAAATTTGTATAAAAAATTTATTAGATACGTATTAACTTTTAGAAAATTTATTAGTTTACCCGTAGTGCAGTAGGGTATAATTTATTGATTACGAATTTGTGTAGCATACTAATTGGTGCGAGGAATAGTTTATACCAAATTTCTCAAGGAATTTTTTTTTTTGTTAGAATCCAAAAGGTGGTTTAATAATTAGTATTTTATTCTTTGTAACTATATAATATACATGTTATCATTCTACATATTGTTTTTTTGACTTTAGTTTATTAACACTAAAATATAATAATATTGTATTATTTTTAGTGTATACGTAATAATATATACTTTCTAAAGGTTACGTATCACTTCACAGAAGTTTATTTCACGAACAACTTGTTTCACAGACAATCAGTTCATAGACAATCCAGTTCATATAGACAATCTTTAATAGCAAAAAGATTGGCTATTAAATGAACTTGCCTATGAAATGAAAATAAACTTGTTTATGAACTGATTGACTGTGAAACAAGGTACCTGTGAAATAAACTTCTGTAAAGTGACACGTAACCCTTTCTAGAATTACGGCTTATTATATTACATACAGTTTCAATTTAATAAGAATTTTAAAATTGTTAAATCACCATATCATGACTTCATTACTGAAGTACTGTAATTTAGATAATCTAGATAATCGTAAGAACTTTAACATATACTTTTATCAATTCACCTGCCCAATTCTCAGATTTAAAAATTCTAATAATAAATTGTAAAAATTAATTTATTTAAAAAATCAAGCACATTCATCAACATGAACAATCAGTTAATAAAACAGTCAGTTACAGTAACGACTAGCTAGCTAATGGAACTGAAATATATAGATTTCTTTATACGTTAGTTTATTCAATCATTGCTTTATGAAAAATTCGATTTTCGACACAAATAGTAATTAGATTCAGGAGCTATTTCAGCGAGTTTTGAAATTAACGAGTCAATATTATTATTTGATACACCATGCTAAAAGAAAACAATTATTATTATATATATGTGATTGAAGAGTAAGAATAATTATTAAAAAAATAACTAATTTTATACACACCAATTCTGAAATCCATAATTCATAGGTAATGGCGTAACGTTTTTGTAAAGCTATATGTTCATCGTCAATATCAGAGTTCATAAGAATACAATAACGAGAAAATTTCAATTCATTTTCATAATCAGGCCATAAATTCAACATAATGTTTTCACCATCCCCATCTCCATAAGGTTCAATGTTTTTAGATTCAATTGGATAAATATGGCCCAAAGAACTTAACCATTTCCAAATGACCGATAAAAATCTTAAATGATACCATAAAGTTTCATGCCCAGGATATCTTAAAATAAGATCCCTAGTTAAACGTATTTCATTGAACCATAGAAGGGTAATATGATCCGTTTTGGTAGAGGATAAATTTTCCGGAACAGGAAGTTGATTTAACAAGTTATCTCTAGAAATTCCAAGAAAATTAGCAATTGTAGAATTATAAAATTGTGATTTCTTTATCAAACATAATTGTCGATGATGAAATCCAGAGTGATCAGAAACGTTCGTTCGAACCCATTTTTCCATATTCAATAATTCATCATCTAAAAGTGAAATAGAATTGGAAGAATCAATTGGTAACAAAGAGATAATCCAATGCCTATGGGTCCAAGCGTAATAGTTTTTAGGATATAATTCAACAACACGACGAATTATAGGAATTTCAAGTCGAATTAATTCGGTAATATCAAACTTATTATCAGATTGATAACGTGATATAATATTCGAGATGATCCATTTCCTTTTTGCAAATAAGTAATAAGAAGTTCAAAGAATGCAAGAATCATCACATGTGGGCTAATTTACAGAATTGGCCAATAATTTATCGCTATTTGCAAAATGATTTATTTTTGATAAAATCTGTAGGTCACTGCAATCGATTGTTGCGATTTCTCAGCAACCATTTAATATTTGCATTTTATGAATCTATAGAGTTCAAAAAAAAAAAAAATTCATTGAATTTAATCAGGTGGTGATGAGATATCATCGCTCAAAGTTTTTTTTTTAAAAATGCAATGCTGCATTGTTTATCATAAATAGAAGCTGCGCCAAAATTTCTTAAAACTTTGAGCAAAGATATTTCAGCAACTACTTAGAAATTTTATTTATTTGAATTCTATGGATCCATAGAATTCAAATGAAAAAAAATTTGATCAGGTGGTTGCTGAGGTATCTTCGTTCAAAGTTTATAAAGACATCGTCTAAGCTGCACCACCAAATTTTTCCTAAAACTTTGAGCGAAGATATTTCAGAGACCACCTGATCAAATTCGATAAAAATTGGTTTATTTGAATTATTATAACTATCTATAAATTTTAATAAAAAAATTTCATCGAATTTTATTAAGTGGTTTCTGAGAAATCTTCGCTCAAAGTTTTAGGAAAATTTTGGCGCGGCTTAGACGATATTTTTAAAAACTTTGAACGAAGCTACCTCAGCAACCACCTGATTAAATTCGATAAATTTTTTTCATTTGAATTCTATGGATCCATAGAATTCAAATAAATAAATTTTCCAAGTAGTTGCTGAAATATCTTTGCTCAAAGTTTTATGAAATTTTGGCGCAGCTTCTATTTATGATAAACAATGCAGCATTGCATTTTTTAAAAAAAAAACTTTGAGCGATGATATCTCATCACCACCTGATTAAATTCAATGAATTTTTTTTTTATTTGAACTCTATAGATTCATAAAATGCAAATATTAAATGGTTGCTGAGAAATCGCAACAATCACGTACAATCGATTGCAATGACCTACAGATTTTATCAAAAAATAAATCATTTTGAAAAATAGCGATAACTACCAAAATGTTCGTCTCAGTGAGAGGATTCTAACAAGCCCAAAATCCTGTAAATCAGCCCATATGAATCGTCAAGAAGATCGAGCATGATATCGTTAGATACCGGTGATGCCAAATAGTAGAATTTTTTGTGTGTTTCGGGAAAGTGAGAATGAGATTTATAAATCTCAACTCTTCAGCAGGATCAAGGAGATTATTTAAAATTAATTTTTTCCTTAAATAATAAAAAAGAAAAAAACGAGGTTAATTATTATATTGATTAAAAAAAAAAAAAAAAAAAAAAAAAAAAGATTCATAAAAGATTTGTAACCTTGCGTTGGTAGCTGTATATAAATCCGGATTGAGCAATAATAAACATCGAGTTGATTGTTTTACGAGTTCGATAGTCTCTTTATTATCATTGTAGCCTTGGACACGATCGACGTAAAGATTCATAAATATTCCATGAGCCTGTTTAAAAATTTTTTGTAAATGTTCTAATGGGATACCAAGATTTGAATCAATTAAAAGAAACGGATAATATTGATCTTTCGGAAGAGTGCTTTGATAAGGTAACAAACAAATCTCTTCACTGAAGAGAAGAGTATTTGTATTAGAAATTGAATATATTTTATTAAAATACAAAATTCCAAATAATGAAAAGTACATTTGATGAGAGTCCACAATCTTGTTAAAAAGTTCATATAAAGTCTTTCCGTCCATCGACATTTTTTTACAGATAAACGATAAAAAAGAAAATAACAACACTTCAAAAAAAAAGATAATCAAGTTTGTGAAACATGATAGATGTCACGGTTTTCAATCGGAAAGGAATCCTTTCAAATACGGACGTACGTACGTAAGTACGTACGATAGAATCTTTTTTAAAATTAATATTTATATAAAAAAAATCTAATAAAATTTTTACGTATTGGATTTTGGAAAATTTACATCAAGAAAACGGGAAAGAAATTTCTCACAAAGTAATGTATAAAGCATATTATAGCCATCACATTATCAATTATCAATTAATTAATGTGTAATTGTCGAAAATGAGATTTTTAGCAACATTCTTCAAAACAACAGCAAAGACAAGCACCAAGAGCACATCCTAAACATAGAGAATTATCTTTCTTTTCAGGAGGAGTCTGTTGCTGTACAACGACTTGAGGAGGAGGTCTTTTTGATGAATTTGATGAATTTGATGAAATCAGTTAATTAAAAAAAAGAAAGAATTGATTTATATCAATTAAGCAATTAAGAGTTGATTTATAATACAATTACAGAATTAAAAGAATTAACAGAATTAACAGAATTAACAGAATTAATATCGATAAGTAATATCGATATACTTACGTGGGTTGGTAATAACCTGATTGTTGAGCCGGAGGTGGTGGATAGTAACCTTGGGGTTGTTGTGGAGGAGGAGGATAATATCCTTTGTCAGACATTTAGGTAAATTTATTTTTTCAAAGTTTTTTTTTGTTATATAATTTATTGAAAAAATTAAAAAAGCAAGTACGTATTTTCATGGGGCTATTTATTTATTTTCAGTCATAGTCTATTTCATTGATTTATTTAAAGGAGCGGAGATATAAATTTCCTGATGTGGTCTCTTGGCACTATGAATTTTCGTAAATTATATATTATTTTATTCTTATTGGGTGTTCACAGGTTGAATATTCTGAGCATAGATTAGCTTTTATTTTTAGATAGATGTTATTCTCCTTTTTTTAAAGTAAAATTAAAAATTATTTATTCTTGATAATACAGTGATACTGTAATAATTGTTAGTATCCTTTTTTCTTTTTCTACACGTGATTTAAAAAAGTATAATTTTACTTTATTTAAATAATAACGAATTTACTATGACAAACAATATATTTTTATAAATATATTGAAGTATTGGCGTAAAACACTGCATCAATTTACTACCCAACCTATCGTTCTACCTACCTTTGAATCGATCATCCTGACCGATTCCCTGTACAGTATGAGCTGCGATACGGGTCTCCTTGCTCTTTTGCGTTTTAACGTATCTAATTCAATTTCCAATTTATGCACGATTATGTGTCAAATGAATTTCAAATAATTTTTGAAGAGAATTAAAGTTGATCAAGATATCCTCTTTATCAAAGGAAAAGATAATTTGAATCTATACCGAACGTGTCATTAAAGGTAAGTACTTGATGAATTATGTTTAGATGCCTTTATGCCCATTTCTTGATATGTGATTAATCGGCGTATCGCTGCCAAGAACCTCCCTAATGCATCATTCTAAATTACATTAAAAAAGCAATCCAAATTTTATTTGAAAACGAAGGTCACGTTTTAAAAATCTCGATATGTGTAACGTAAGATAGATGCACATGCACGATTCACATGACAAACTTACTGTAGTTGCAGAGTTATACTATGTGCTTTTTGCGTTAAATTTTGAATTCTAATCACTATATTTATTATAGAAAGAAATGACTGACAGATCGCCTCAACAATTTCATAAAGATCCTCACGTTAATGGCTCGATAGGTAGTAACTCTTCTCGAGGTGGTCATTCTAGTGAAGAGAATGGTAGATCTTCTGGTACCCCTTTTCGTACTTACCATAACGCTGAGGCTAGTTTCCAATCTTCACCAGAAGGTTCTCCCTACCGAATCAAGACGCCCCAATTAACTCCTTATTCGAAACCATATACTGATTATCCGTATGCTTCTTTTCTTTCTTTCTCTCCTTCCTTTCGTATCTATTCTCTCTATATAACGTTCTCTTTTCTTTTTAGTCAACATAAATTTCACGGTTGTTCTTCGATCGACGATTACGAATTTATGGACAAACTTGGTGAAGGAACTTTTGGGTATGCTTCGTGATTCTTGCCCTTTATTTCTTAGATTTTTATCTGATCCTCTTTTTTAATAAAATAGTGAAGTGCACAAGGGTAAACACACAAAGAGCGGTAAAATTGTCGCGTTAAAGAGAATATTGATGCATAACGAAAAAGAGGGAATTCCTATAACGGCTATACGTGAAATTAAGATTTTAAGGCAACTAAATCATCAAAATGTTGTGAGTCTATCGGATATGGCTATTGAATATGGTACTTTCTTTATATTTTAGTCTTTGTTTTTTATATATGCTTCAAATTTTTATTTTAATCTTTTCTATTTTCTTATCCGTTAGATACTCCTTCTGATACTCAACCCTCAATTTATATGGTTTTCCCATATATGGATCATGATCTTGCTGGTCTTTTGGAAAATCCTGATGTTGTTTTTACTCCTCCACAAATTAAATGTTACTTGAAACAATTACTTGAAGGAACTTTTTATTTACACAATGTAGGTTAATTCATTTATTTTACTTATTTTATTTTTTTATTTTATTTTTTTTGGTTAGGCTAATTTTATTACGAATTTTTGTTATTTTGGAAATAGCAACATATATTACATAGAGATTTAAAAGGTTTATACTTTTTAATTCTTGATTAGATTTACTTTATAATTTAGTATTAACCAACTCTTTTTTTTTAATAGCGGCAAATTTGTTAATAGATAACAAAGGAATACTTAAGATCGCTGATTTTGGTCTATCAAGGCCATTACAAGAAAAGACATTAACTGGATGTGTTGTTACTCGTTGGTATCGCGCTCCTGAACTACTTCTTAAGTCAAAACGTTATGATACGGCCATTGATATGTGGGCGATTGGGTAAATTAATGTGTTTGTAGTTAATTATTTAATTAATCATTTTATTTCTTTACATTATCTGAATCTTATAATTCTTTATCAAATCAAGGTGTGTATTTGGTGAAATGTTAAAAGGAAAACCTATTCTTCCTGGTCGTTCTGATCAAGACCAGTTGGATCAAATATATAAATTATGTGGAACTCCCACTGAAGCAACTTGGGAAGGTTATACTACTTTATCAAATGGTATGGAGATTGTACCGAATAAATACCCTAGAAGAGTTGTATCTGAATTCGAAAAGTTAGTAGTCTTATTATTGTATTATTAGCTTATATATTTATTTATATAATTTGAAGTGTGATTAATTTCTTTTGTTTTTAATAGGTTCGGTCCACATGCTGCCGATTTATTAGATAAAATACTTATTTGCAATCCCAAAGATCGTCTAAATGCTTTTCAAGCATTGGACCATGATTATTTCTTTACTGAACCTTTACCAGCTGATCCTAAAAAGTTTGTAATTTTTGTCCTTATTTTAAAATTATTTAAATTTCGATTATATTATTTGAATTGCTAATATATATACTCTTCCTAATAAAAATTAGTTTACCAACATATGATTCGAGTCACGAATATCATCATCGAAAACCACAAAAGAAAGAACGCGAAGTAGCTAATAGAAATGATGAAGAATCTGCTAGAGGCAGTAATTCAACTCAGGATGGCTATCGTCAAAATAAAAAAGATCGTAGATCTAAAAAGAGAAATAGTCGAACTCCGGATACTTCTCATTCTAAAAAAGTACGAATCAATGATCAACGAGACCCACGAGACCAGCCTCCTCGTCGTCATGCTCTTCCAGAAAAACCAATTTCAAGAAATTAATGATGGCTTGTAGTGATTCTGGCCAATTATGAAAAAATCGGCTAAACCTAATTTTAGGTTTAGATAGTCGTTTTTTTTTTTAAAAAAAAAAATCGGCTGTCCGATCTCTTATAATGATAATAATTCATGCACAAGCTTTTGATCATTCCAAAAAGTTGTTTTGCTTTGTATATATATATTTTGAAACGTAACGTCAAATATACCTTATATCATTTAGAGATATAGTGCGTAAGCGATGTACTCAGCTAGTGGATCACTGAGAAGTGATAATATATTTTAATTAGTATTAAGATTTTTTTAATTAGTACGTACTATAAAACATAACAGAAATCTGGAACTCCCATTGGATTTTAGATTTTTTTTCAATATTCTAATAAAAAGAACAATCTCATGAGTCATTTCATTTGTAATGCTTTAGATTCGCCTAAGTTCTCGACAGTTCAAGATCTTGCTGACATTCAAGATATCATTGAGTTTCGTCCAAAGTACTTAAATTATTCGTAACGAATTGCAGATTTTTTTAAATGTAAGTTACATTTTTTGGCTTAAATGACCAGCCAAATTGTGTTTTTTTAAATTCTAGACTAGCTACATTACTGATATGAGCGTCGCAGTAAATATCAGAAAGTACATATATATATATTTATCGTTATTTATTATTAAATAAACTTTAAAAAATATATATTTATATAATCTATAATAATCTATATTTAGACTTCCATTTATAAGCCATTTTCGTAGTAACTTTTAAAAAAATTCAGAGTACGTACACAATTATTTTCTTGTCTGGAGCAAGGCCAGCAAAGCCATCTTTTACGTTTTTTCTTTTTTTTTATTATCGTTACAAAATTTTTTAAATTATACAATTAATAATTACATGGTAAATAGATAAAAAAATCCACAATTAGTAAAAATCATGAGTGACTCTGTTCCATTACATTACACACTTAAAAATATACCAGCGTTCAATCCGTATGTGTTATTCTTGGGGTATCAAAAAACTTATCATTTGGTCACGTAATTCCCATCCAGTTCCACCAGTTTCAGCAATCCTCATTAAACCGAAATAAGTAATTTTATATGGTGTATGGTATTGTACTAAAAAAAGCCTATCGCCATATGAAAATATATATAACTATATTTGATTAAACTTGCCAGAAGCAAGTGGTCCATTGTAATTACTATTTGTAAGTAAAATAAACTGAAGTCGCTTGCATATACAATAAACTTCGAGGATCGACAACAAATTGTATGAATTTTAACCCTGCTAAAAATAAATGCAAATTTAAAAAAAACACTTCCTTATTTGTGCTACTCAATTTGCCCCTTTTAGTTTTCCGTGCATTTTCTACAAGATTTTACAAATTGAGAAACTCTGGGTTTCACGAAATCGGTTACGTTGTATATTACTGTATTATGCTGTATTTAATATCATGCTCATGATCATGCCCATGATCGTGCTCATGATCATGCTCATGCTTATGATCGATCAGTATAAAAATTTTAAAAAGGGCGAAAGACTGATCTTATAAACTCATACAGGGAACTCTGGTCGGATGGGACCGGAATTGATCAATTTTGCCCAAGATCACTAAGAATTTACCATAGTCGTGCCCAGCTGACAATTTTACTATAGCTCCCGCTAACCAGTATAGCTAACCTTAACCCTCACCACGACGCATTCTAGTCATTCTGACCCGGAAATTTGGAGATCCTTCTGTAAAAAATGCTCAAGGGTTGGGCAATATATGGTTTAGTAGGTTAGGGTTATTTTCTTATATATAACAGGGCGTATGATATAGAAATATATATTTTAAGCATATATTTTCGTGTAACATATCTATTTATCACACCAATAGTTGTCACATATTTATATGCCCACCTATACCTGAGAAATTTTATTATTCAAATTCAATTCTAGTTGTTCCGATAATAGATTTTCCCTAGACAGCATTCAGAGACAAATTGAACACAAAGTACAAATAAAAGCCAGATAACAGGTTTTCTCGCGCAAAATAAAATCTAGCATATATTTATATATCAAGTGATCTTTGCGCGACTTCATGTCATATTAAATCATGATTATTAAAATCTTGTGCAAAGTATGTAATTTAATTGTGCGAAAACGATAGAAGAGATCATATGGGAAATGCAAAGAACTTTATAGAATCTTTCAATTTTGCAACTTTCGTTAGTCAATTTCTTATTTTATACAACGCTAGTGTACATATGCGCTAATTCAAATTTCTTCAAAAGTATTGTAGTGATATCAACTTTGCAAGCCTTGATTGTAGCTACTGTATATCTGTATATTATATAACCCTTGTTAGTGTTAATCACGCGAATAGAGAGTGAAATGTTGAAAATTTATCTAATTTAACGTTGTTTTTGTTTTTTTCGTCGATCGTCTGTCGATCATCAAAAATTCATGCAGCATCTGTGTAACCCAAATATTGTTTTTTTTTATATTTGCCTTAATCCGATTTTTTTTTTCTTTGCATCAACAGTTAATATGGCATCAGAAGAAACGCCGTCAAAACTCGTAAGCTTGTATTATTTGCTTAATTCTAGTTTGTCACTCTTTTCGGTAACTAAGCATGTGAATGTATTTCTTTAAACAGTTACGTCAGTTGTCAAGGGCTCTTGCTCCAGACCAACAAATAACGCCCTTGAGGCAAAAAGTTGGCACACGAAGACGAGTTTCCACTCCGCGTACGCCAAGGACGCGTCGAACGTCTATTATACATTTAACACCAAATGCTACGCGTCCGTCCTTAAAAAAGCAAAATAAAGATGATAAAGTAAAAACGAAAAAGAAGGAAACTCCACAAGATTTACTTAGAGTGCTATCTCGAGGTATTATATCAGTACCTTATTAAATAATAGTAGCCCTTAAGTTTGCAATATATTGTGATGCTCAATTCTATTAACAGCGCCGGGGTTTGTACAAAAATCTCATGACGATATTACCAATAACTATAGTGATCAAGTTGATAACTATAGTGACCAAGTTGATCAACTTACAGAGACTATAGAATTCACAAGAGAGATTAAACTTAATAATCAGGATGTGAATGATGATGAGATTATTGATATTAATAATGATCAAGATACAGAGACTATGGAATTCACAAGAGAGATTAAACTTAATAATGATCAAGATACAGAGACTGTGGAATTCACAAGAGAGATTAAACTTAATAATCAGGATGTGAATGCTGATGAGATTATTGATATTAATAATGATCAAGATACAGAGACTATAGAATTCACAAAAGAAATTAAACTCAATAATCAGTACACCGCGTGTCACCAATTCGGTCGTTCCGTCTGCGCGGAAACTGTGGCCGGCGACATGGAGGAGCTGTCTGAGTTCCGGTTTAACGAGGATATGAATGCTGATGAGATTACTGATATTTATAATACGGAGACTATGGAATCTACAGGAGAGATCATTTATAATACGGAGACTATGGAATCTACAGGAGAGATCATTTATAATACGGAGACTATGGAATCTACAGGAGAAATCATTTATAATACGGAGACTATGGAATCTACAGGAGAGATCAATACTATTTCCTCCAAACCCAGGGGACAACCACAACTACCCCAATCACTAATTAAGAAAGTGTTTAATAGTTTTTCAAATGCAAAATTATCGAAGACTGCCATGCAAGCAGTATTTGAAGGGTAAATCTAGTTCATTTATGACATTTCATTGTGTTTATATAATTAATGTTCTGATAGTCATATTATTATAATAGGACACAACTATTTTTTGAGCAAATTACCACAGACTTGGCGACATATGCTGCACATGGTAAACGAGAAATTATTCAAGACAAAGATGTGTTATTATTAATGAAAAGGTAAAAATATATATATTTACTAAGTTCTTTTTTTTTTCCTTGATTTTGACTACAATTTACACTTGAATAGGCAAGGATTAATCAATGATAAGATTAGTTTTGAACATTTGGCGGAAAGACATTTGCCACGTGAATTATTGGATGAAGTTTGCGTAGTTGCTCGTGCAGGAAATAGGTTATATCCAAATAAAAAAAAATAAATCAACCATATTTTTGCATATTTCTCAAAAAAAATAACGCTTCGGACACTTATCAGATTTTAGTTCTTTTATTAAATGTCAAATTTTAAATTATATAACTTTTAATTTGAATTAACTTCAAAACTAAATAAAAATTATTTATTTTTTTTTATAAAATTTATTTTTTAAAAAAGTAATATCAATTTAATTATAAAAAATATATGGCTTGTGAGATTAGAATTTGTGCCTGGCCCGATTTGTTGTTTATTATGCACGATTCGTGTGTAACTTCCAACTGTACTATGTAAACAAACATGATAATCTTTTTTGAAATTCGATATTTTCCAGCAAAGGTTTTTTAACAACTATATAATTAAACATAATAAAAAAATTGAAATAAAAGAAAGTTTATTAATAGTTATTAAGAAAACTTTTGCAACATTATAGTACTATTATAAGTAACTATAAGATTAGTATAATATACTATACTATATATATTAAAATTTGTATAATATATAAATTATTTAATTGTCCGGAGCAAAGCGGAGGACACTGTTTTTACGACAGCAAGTGATCATTTTGATCACGTGAGAATTCTGTCTGTCCGCTTCCGTGAATCTGATTGGTCATAATGATGATCATATATATGCATTAACAAATGTCGATTTTTATTTCGAAGTATTATACTCAATACCTTTTTTATCTCCGGACTTACACAGGTTTCCAGTTTCTAGTATATATTAAAGTAAGGATTACACTAGTTGGAAACTAGCAAATCAGATATAAATTAGATATGCTAAATTTTAAACTAATTAATATTTAATTTATACTATAGTTAAATCTTCCTAAGTGTATATTATTGAAACTAGCTTTGAAATATATATTTAAAAAGAGTTGTATCTAAAAAAACCCAATAGAATTATAGTATATGAGAGAGAGTTAATAAAAAAAAGACAAATTTTTTTTAAATAAAAGATTTCTTGACTTTAAGCTTAAATATCTTAATACAGTAACTACTACCTAAAGCCATCAACTTTTAATTATAAAAATTTTTAAATTGATATAACTTTCTAAAAACAGAAAATATTTAAAAATTTTTTTAATAATTTAACAGTTAATAGCTTTTTGTTTAAACTATTAAACTATCAAAAAAATTTTTAAAAATTTTTTGTTTTTAGAAAGTTATATTAATTTAAATTTATATATGATTTAAAAATTTGTTTATATATAAAAAAGTATAACAAAATTTAAATTTATTAACAAAGTTTTAAAATTTATTAATAAAAATTAAAATTATAAGTTTTTTTGCATTTTTATTAGACAATTAGATTATATTGCAGCTAAAAATTAATATCTATATACAAAATATATTGGCTTTAAATTGTAGCTACTATAATTATCATATTAGCAATTTTGCAGAATTGGTTCTAAATTGTATTTTTAAAGTTATCTGCAAAATGAACCCCAAATTTTGTAGCAAACAAATATATATATAAAGATAATTTAAAGAATAAATAAATATAATAATATTGTAATTGTATTTATTTATTCTCTTAAATTATATTTCTATATATATTTTGTTTGCTATATACAAAATTAAAAGTTTACTTTGTAGATATCTTTAAGAATACAATTTAGAATTAATTCAAAACCAATTCTGCAAATTTACTGACATGTTTTATTAAATTTAATAAATTTTTTTTATTTTAATTTTATATAATTTCAAAATTAAAAATAAAAAATTTTAGAGATAGCAATTGTAACTAGAAGGTTTAAATAAACAACCTTTATAGTTAAATATAGATATAGCAGATAGTGTAGAACCTTCAGACAGACTATTTAAATTAGATACCAAAAATGTATATGTTACTTGATAAACTCTTGTTGTAATTGTAAAAATGGCATATATTATTTAATAAAAAGTCTTTAGCCTAAAAAAGGACATATTAATATTGAAAAAAAATAAAAACAAAAAATAAAAATTTTTAACAAATTTGATTAAATAGTTATTGAAATATTTTAATTTAAAAATTAAAAAATTTTATTAAAAATGATTTGTCTCTTTTCTATTAACTTTTTCTTATATACTATATAGTATAAATTATATATTAAAATTATTTTATATAAGATTATATAATATTAATTTGATTGGCTAATAGTTATATAATATATGAGGTGTGGTGGCTTAGTGAAGTGGTCAAGTCGTCACCTTCTCCAAGTAGCAGGTCTAGGGTTCAAATCCCACGGATGACGAAAGTTTGAAAAATAGGCTTGCGTTATGGTAATGGATCTTCATTAAGTTAGAGCTTAGATTAACCTGTAACTTCGGGTCACACCAATACTCTGTATTGGAAAGTTGTCACTGTCGGGCGTCTGCGTACT